ATGATATGATATGTATTATTTTTTGATTTGTTACACACCTATTGATGTAGATTTTAATTCTATTACCATATCATTTTTGGTGAATTTATGAGTCTAACATTTCTTTTGAATTTATAAAAACAAAAAAAATTATGGTGTGTAACTTTTCTCAACAGATAAATATAAAACAAATACTAAGATAATTCTCTAATCTAAAAAAACTACAAAGATAATTCACTTAACTAAAGAAGTAAAAGAAAATGCATATATATACAAATGACTAATTTTATTAATACATAAATCATACTCGCATAACCAGTGATTAATTTTATTAATAAGTAAATGAATAATTTTTAATAATATGAAAAATATCATTAAGTCAATTAATAGTTTTTAATGATATGAGAAATATTTTTCAATAAACAACTTTGATAATTTATTATTGTATAAGAGAATAGCTTTTTCCCATTAAATTAAAATCTATAACAAATGATAGTTGTAATTTCTAGTATTATATGACCGATTTATATTTTAAACAAACTTTATGGGTGCATTTGTAATTTATTAAAAAAATAAAAGATTTATGTTTCATAATTGACTAAGAATGTTTGCGTAATTACGAAAAAACTTGTTTCATAATTGATTAAGAATGCTTGCCTAATAACGAAAACCTGTTGCATAATTAACCAAGAATGTTTGTGTAATAACGAAAAAACCTTTACTCAAGATATAAGCTACCATTAGTAAATTATTTAAAATAGAAGGATAAAATTGGAAGGAAAAAAAAAAGGCGAACCTCAAGCAACTAGGCCATTCTTATATATTATACTAGTTTAAAAAGGCCGTGCAAAGCATGGGCTATTACTACAGTATATTTAAGTTTTGTATTTTAATAATTTTTTAAAAGTTAAAATATTGTTTTATGAAATTGAATAGAACAAATTATTAGATATATGATAGAATTATATGATATGATATGTATAATATTTTTGATTTGTTACACACCCGTTGATATAGATTCAAATTCTATTACTATATCATTTTTGGTGAATATATAAGTCTAACACTTCTTTCGAATTTATAAAAAAAAAATAATAATAATTATGGTGTGTAACTTTTTTCAACAAATAAATATAAAACAAATATTAAGATAATTCTCCCATTTGAAAAAATTACTAACAAAATTCACTAAACTAATAAAGAAGCAGAAGAAAATACATATATATACCAATGACTAATTTTATTAATACATAAATCATACTTGCATAAGAAATGACCAATTTTGTCAATAAGTAAACTAACAACTTTTAATGATATGAAAATTATTTTTCACTTAACCATTTTGTTAATAAATAAATCATTAAGTCAAATAACAATTTTTAATGATATGAGAAATATTTTTTAATAAATAATTTTGATAATTTATTATTGCATAGGAGAATAGTTTTTTTTTTTCCCTGAGTATTGTGTTAAATTAAAATTTAACAATAGTTGTAATTTCTTGTATTATAGGATCAATTTATATTTTAAACAAATTTTATGGGTGTATTTATAATTTGATAAAAAAATAACAGATTTATATTTCATAATTGACTAAGAATGTTTGCACAATTACAAAAAAAAAAAAAAAACTGTTTTGTAATTGACCTAGAATGTTTGCGTAATTAAAAAGAAAACCTATTACATAATTGACTAAAAATGTTTGCGTAATTACGAAAAATGTTTGCATAATTGACTAAAAATGTTTGCGTAATTACGAAAAATGTTTGCATAATTGACTAAAAATGTTTGCGTAATTACGAAAAATGTACCCACTACCACTACCTCTACCACCAAGCTATCATCCCTTCTCTCCACCAACCAGGGCGACCCTGACCTAAGTCAGGTAAGGTTTGTGCCTCAGACCCCAAATTTTGGCCCAAAATAAGGCCCCAAAATTTAAAAAATTGTTATAGGCTCAACTTTTTTTTTTTTTTTGGTTTTAAGATCAATTTAAAGAGCCCCAAAATGTTTTATTGGGACCATGTATAATTTAGCCCATTTAAATATGTTTGGCCCATATTTATTAAAATATATATATATATATATATAACAGAAAATGTGTTTGGCCCAACCCAAACCATACATACAATATACAACATCACTTTAGTGCACTGCTAGTCTGCTTCCGCTTTCAATCTCTCTCTTTAACGAAGTGATGAAATGAAGACGGAAGTATGTACACCAAGTTGAAGGTGAAAGCATAGCATTGTGAGCGACTCACTCTCTCTCTTTCACACACTCCTCTGGCAATTCACTCTCTTTCACACACACTCTCTCTCATGGTTAGTCCTCTCTCTCACTATCAGATTTTATTAAATAAAGTTGCCCTAATTTTTTTTTCTATATTCTTTCTCTATCAATTAGTGGAATAATAAATTTGCCCTAATTTTTTTGTTACCTTCTTTATCCATTATATTTTAGTGGAATAAATAATTTAGTCCTAATTTTTTTACCAAGGTATTTATCAGTTTTAATTGAATAATTTTTTTGCCCTAATTTTGTTTCATTAAATTATTTTTTTATAATTTATTTACTATCAGATCAGTGGATTGTGATTTGTGGACTGAAGTGTTTGTGATTTGTGGATTGAAGTGTTTGTGATTATAGCCATATTTTCTAGGAAGTATAGTTCTGGAATAAAAAAATTGCCTTAGGCCCCACAAATCTCAGGACATACTTAAATAAAAAATTATAGCCATACTTAAATAAAAAATTTGTAGATACTTATCAGTTTATGCATTAATTTTTTATTAAAAAAATATACATTAGAGGGGCCCCATTTTCATAGTTTGCCTTAGGTCTCACAAATCTCAGGGCCGGCCCTGCCACCAACCACGGCCACCCTTTTTCCAATCTCTCACTCTCTCCAAATCCAAGTACATCCACCTCAAATAATATATAATACACACGCACACAAACAAAAAAAAAAGTAAAATTTATATTTAAAAATATATATAATCATTATAAATAAATAATATACAAGATCTTCGTATTTAAAAGATGTTTTGATATACTTTTTAATCATTTTAGTATAGTTTTGCGTTATTTGAGAAAAATAGATTCAAAATTCATTTCAGCTCTGGTTCATCAAACAAATTGAGATTGTTTGATTTTTGGTAGCCAAACAATTTAAGTTTGTTCATCCTTTTGTGGTCAAACATAGCTAATTAATAAATTTTGGCCCGTTTTCGAACAAATTTGATTTAATCGGCCACTTCCAACCAAAAAAATTTGTTCAATCGTATGCCGCCGAACAAACAAAATTTGTTTATCACCAAACAAAACATGAATGCTGAAAAGAAACTGTGGAAGTGGTGGTCGCAGGGAAAGCTAGAGTGATTTTGGCGGTGAAGGATTGCAAGGTGGTGGTGGCGGCAATGGCAGTGGGATTGCAGAGTGGTGCGTAGAGGAGGTAGTGGCAGCAACAGCGACTAGTAGTTGAAGATGGAGAAGTTAAGGTTTAAAAGAATTTAGGTGTAAAAACAGACGAGAGGAGGTCAGAGATGGGAGTACAAGTGGAATAAAGGAGAGATGGGGCGATTGTTGCACTCTTCCTATAGCAATCACGATTGTTCTCTCCATGGAACTCATTTTGAGTCCTATCTCAATGATCCAAACCATTCATTTTTTCAAGGTCATTGATTAGTACATCCCTTTAAAAAATTAAATTAATCGAAAATCAATAACCTTTTGATCAGATCATATTTTACAGAGATATATTGTTCAACAAATCCTAATAGAGAATAGTTCTAATCATTGAGGTATGAGCCAAACAGACAGAATAACCTTAACTGCAACGCAAATGACACAACAGTTATCCCATCTCTCCAAATAAAAGAGTGTAAAGAGATGCAAAAAGATTTTGAATTTTTGAAAGAGATGTAATTAGAAAAATGATATAATAAGACGGAATTATTTTGTAAATAGAATTACCCAAACCATAATGGTGCAAATTCGTCCGAAGTCCCAGTGATTGATTTTTGAATTACATGGGGGTAAAATGCTGCCATGAAAAGTGAAACTTACCCATCAAATTAATGCATCTATGCAGTAATACATTTTCTTTCAGCATTGAATTCACATATAAAGGACAAACAACCACAATAAAATTTGGATAGAGGGCGACCAAGCTATGATCTTGATATGAATAAACAATTAGGATGGCCATAATGTCACCCTTCTTTATTATTATGCCACAAATGTTTTATGTAAAAATATATTTTTGCTCTTGCATTCATTCACCACGTGCACAGATCTGTTACTGTTTCCCTGCTCCGTGTCTCTCATTGTATTATCTACCCGTTTCTCACAAACAAAAAGACTTTCCAGTCAAAGAAGAGCTTCCAGTCGAAGAAGAGCTTCTTCCCAAAAAGGGTGACAGCCTTACATTCTCTTACCAAGGAGATTCTCTTACCCTCTTCATATACCCTCTCACCAAATGTGTTGCTCTCTCTACAGCTCCCAAACTCTCTCCCAAACCTTCAATGACAATTCCTCATCTCACTATCATTAATTCTATTACAGCACTGAAGAATCCGAACCTCAAGTTGATCAATAAACAAGTTCAAAGCCTGGACCTTTGGGACGTCTGATTGAACTGATAGGTTCTCTGAATGGGAGGGGAGGAGAGGGCCATGGAAGGGAATGATCCATTCAGAAAGAAAGAAAGAGGATCCTGCAGCTGGGATGGTGATGACTTTGATTAGATGATAAGAGAACCAGAAGGGGTGGTAATGGCTTCCATCGTGATCAAGCTCACTACATCGACCCCGAAACTAATGGTTCAAGATTGTTAATGGTCTGTGGATCCTCAAGCCTGTCTTGAAAAACTACTCAAGAGAGGAAATGTGTGGTTTGTGTTATCAAATTGGCCTGGATTGTTGGATTGTAGTGAGAGAAAAAGGTAAAATGAAGTAGCTTACTGTGACAGGATAAAAAGACAGGCATTTATCTTCACCCAAACAATTAAATATAAAACATACATGAATACTATGATAAACATATATTAACAAGTACATATTAATTACCAGTCCAACTAAGACAATTCAATTATGTTCATTGCATTCCATTAGCAAACCTATAACCTGCCTGCCTAAAACACAAAAAGAAACTAACCATATGCCCGTCCTCTAGCTGCTCATGGTAACAGGGCATGAACTACATTAGATGGAGTTTTCTAATACAGACCAATTCAAAAGCATTACCTAGTAAAAGATAATGTCCTGGATAAGGGTTTAGACAACTTAAAACACTAGAAGTAGCATATCACTTAGAAGGCATGGATGTTTAGACTCGCATAACAATCTATTCAAGCAATGTTTTTGAGCTTCTTGAATACAGCATCACCCTCCATATACTTCACAGCACGCTTATTCTTTTTGTCACTGTCATGAAAGCAAGCACAACATTTAAATACTCATATTATGATAGAGATTGATAAAAAGAATAGAAGGTACCAAAATAATGTAAAATACGTGTAACAAAATCACTTCATTAGACTCACAGGCTTGAGAGTTTTATTACACTATTCATTTACTTTGAGACTACTTTAAGAATAATCGTTATCTAAGTACAATATCAGAAAAGCTCAACTATCTTCAAGTGTGTGAGACATCATAGCAATCATTTGCAGTCACTGTTTACGAAAATACATGTCTCACAAAAACACCAGAAATCAAACATGGGAACTGAAGGCCCTACAAGGATCATATAATTTAAGTTTCTAATGCCCACATATTGCCAACATGAAGTAATGAGAAATGCTCCAGTACCACCTATCACAATGAAAATGTCTCCCTACATTTCCAACAGTAATGGTGCTAAATTGCTCATATAATAGCCCAACAAGCCTAATCTTGTGGTGGTATTGTCTAATCAGAAGATACAATAAACATTATAACTTTTGGGTCCTTATTATAATATAATAAATTATATTTATATGTATATATCTTCGTTGGATACCGTAGTAGTTGATAATTTAAAATTTATAAAGGTTGAGTTTTGTGAAGTTTGAACCAATTTGAATGAATGTTCAAGTAGAAGGGTATTGTGCGTGGTTGCTTCTCGATTGTGGGTGCTTGTTTTTTCTTTGTTTGGAGTGGTGTGGGTTCAACCAAAGCAAGTCATGGATGTTCTTCGTTGCTAGGGGGTGGTCAAGTTGGGAAGAGGCGGCGAAGACCTTGGGCATTAGCTCCTTTGTGTTTGATGTGATTGCTTTGGTTGGAGCACAATTGCCGGGTCTTTCAGGGGAGTGTTCAGTCGATTGCTCAGTTAGAGTCTCGATTTTGCAATGTTTTGTACAGTTGGGTGTCGGGAAGAGCAGACTGTGATTTATTTGTTTTTTTACACTTTGTTGATGATTTAGTTGGTTAGGTCCCTATTTGAGGGGTTGGTTTTTGTATTCTTTTGGCATCTACTTGATGCTTTCGTAATAAATCTTTATTTCCTTAGTGTTTCGAGGATGTTTGAGAAAGTCTTTAGATTGGTTTTGGTTCTCCTTTCATTCCATGTCATACTTTCGGTCAACCAAGTAGGTGTTGCATAATCTCTTCAAATTATTTCCCTAATTCTATGCTACTACTACTAATCGTTAGGATTGGAGAAAGGAATTTTCACTCCACTTGAAAACTAACTCATATAGTCATGACTTGTACCTTCTATTTTTAAGAGCAAATATACTTCATCATGAAGACTTGGACTATATTTTAGGGTAAATTACACGGACCTCTGCAGAGGCTCCCTCCAGGTTTTCAAAATGGCATTGACTTCCCTTGTGGTTTGATTGTTGGTTTCAAATTGACCCTTCTGATAATGCATCGCCAGTGAGTCCAAATTGCTGACTTCAGCCAAAAGGTTTGTGCCATTGCCAATTTTGCCCTCTTACAATACATATTTAATTCAATACCATTCAAAGATAGCATTAAAAGACAAAAGTCTAAATATCACCTAAGCCTAGCCTTCACTTTGGTTCACTTTGATGATGAAGATCAATGCCCCTCCAAATTGGGTCCGTCTCTTAGCCTCTGGAAGGATGACACGGAGATACCACATCATCGCCACTACAAGAGGAAGCGTTGCCACCAACATTGACCAGAATGACTACAGCTCCCACTCATCCTCTCTCTATCTATACATAGAATAGATTTCTAAAAATTATCTACTTCAAGGTTATACATACATAGGAATGGCAACGGGCCGGGGCGGGGCCGGGGATCACACTCCCCATCCCCGATCCCCGATTGTGAAAACCTCCCTGGCCCCGATCCTCGACGGGGAACCTATCAACGTCCCCATCCCCGCCCCCTAACGGGGATCGGGTTTCCCCGACCCCGAAAATTCCCCGGCCCAAAAACATCATCAACAACAACAGATCCACTATCAACAACATCATCATCAACAACAACATCACAAATAGAGACATATACATACATACACCATCTGCATCTCCGATCAAAAAAAATGGAGACATATACATACATACACTATCAACAGATCCACTATCATTATCAATTGTTTCATTTTCAACATCATAGATCAAAAAAAAAGAAAAAAAAGAAAAAAAAAAAGACAAACAGAGACATATACATACATACACAAACAGGTTACAGATCTGAGATCCAAAAAAATAGACAAATAAAGACATATATATACATACACCATTGGCATCTCCGATCTGACCATAACATTACGTCTTAGTTGTGTCGCTGGAGACAAAACGAAGCTTCTCACGCCAAACGGATTCACGATCGACGATAAGGAAAATGGCACTGACGGCAGCGGAAGATATAGATCTGGAAAAGCCACCGGCAAAGCGAAACTCAAATATGGAAAACACAGATCTAGGGGTTCGAAACCCTAGATCTAGACGGGGAAGGAGAGAGAGAATCTGGAGAGTGAGACGAGAGAGTAAAGGGAAGACAGCGGCGGTGGCGTTGCAAACAGTGGCGGTGGACGGCGACAGATCTGGCCCACTCTTCGCCCTCTTCTTCTCTGCAACTCTCTCTCTTTAGAATTCCTCTCTCTAAGCGCAATTGATTGAATCTGGTTTTTCAAAGAGAGTGTGTGTGTTGAAGAGTGTTTGATGATCCTTACAACGGAGGGAGGGAGATCGCTCGGTGGTGGTGATGAGAGGGTTAGAGAGATAGAGATAGAGAGAGAGAGAGAGAGAGAGACGGTGAGGCTTGAGGGGTTGTGTTATGTTACGTTAGGGTTTGGTTTATATATATATATATATAGGGGCATAATAGTAATTTCACATCGGAGAAATGGGGCCGGGGCCGGGGACGGGCCGGGTCGGGGCCGGGGCCGTGAAAGCTATCCCCGTCCCCGGCCCCGGCCCGAAACTGATCGGGAATTCAATTTGGAATACCATCCCCGTCCCCGCGGGGGTATTTTTCGAGGGAAAACCATTCTAATCGAGGTCGGGGGATCGGGTCCCCGTCGGGCCGGGTTGAAATTGGCATCCCTATACATACATGCATATATATGTGTGTATGTGCACGCGCGCGCGCGAACCTTATATAAATAAACCCAATCTCTCTCTACCATTTTAAACATATAAATAACCACAATTTAATGAAATATTTTGGCAGAATGTTTTTCACAATCAACATTAAGCACATATTTGATTTGGTTTAATTTTTTTTGTCTTGAACTGATTCATATTTTTCCATTAAATTACATTTCAAGTTTCAAAAATAAAACATAAAAAAATTCAATTGTCTCATCTATTTCATGGTAACAAATGTGGCTTGCTCAAGGTGGTTGGGTTGTTTCTGGTAGTTCACCACGGAACCAAGATTGAGATTAGATTGGTAAATATGATGACATTGAAAAATATAAGGTGATGCAACTGTGTGGGGGAAGGAATGGCAGTTTCAGGAAGTGGCCGATGGTGGAACTGTGGTGGTCGACATCAATGATGGTACCTTTGTCATGGTGGTGACTTTGTTTGGGCTAGTGAGGCATAGACCAGTGACAGTGAGGTTTTGTGGTTACCATAGTGAGTCAACCTAAGGGTAAATAACATCATCAGTTAACAGCGTTCATGGACATATATGATAGGAGAGGTTTCTGTCATTTCAGAAACCTCAATGGAGGTATTTGAATATATCAGAAACCTTAGGGGAGCCTAGTATAATTTACCCTATATAAGTTTTATTTAAATACAAAACTCAAAATGTTTTAGGTTGAAAAGTGATTGGTTCATTTATGTATTTATAGAAATGTTATTGGATTGCTTTAGTAAACTTTCGAACTTGAGGTCAAGAACAATATTAAAATAAATGAATGCTTGCCTAGGAGGTTCAAAGTTATCATGAAAATGAGTTTAAGTTGCAAACTTTTAAATTAGTAATTGATAATATTAAAAATAACAAGAAAAATTTCTCTTGCCATGTTGGTTCAGCTTAAACCCAAACACAACAGTATCGGGCCACAAAGGGTCGATATACTTAATGTCAATGGGCCACATGGGCCAATGTATATGAAGGGGTAGGGGTCGGCATCAGCCAGCCCAAAAATGGGCCAATGTATATGAAGTTCAAAGTTATCCCATTTTATAAGGGCTTAAGGCCCTGTTTGTTTGGGGTTATAAGGATTGATAGTGAGGTGGGACTACTGTATGGGGTGTTTGTTTTGAGAGATGGGGAGGGGACTCCTAATCCCTTAGTATTTAGTAAAGGCCTTGGAAGGGGGATTGGGATGGAGGAGATAGAGATGGTATTAGAAAAATAGTGAGGGTATTAGAAATTTTTTTATTTTTTTTATTTTTTATATATTGAGAATTTTTTAAAAAATATTAATGTTTAATTTTTTATATTTTTTATTTGTTTTATTATTTTATATAAAAATAATTTAACAATTCCTACACTAGCAATTACCATCAAAACAAACACAATTTTATTTAATCCCCTCACTATCAATCCCCTCCATTCTACCTCTGAAAACAAACGGGGCCTAAGAGGGTATCCAAAGGTAGGACAATGTTTTAGGCATGTTTAATTTTCAGGTTGGGCTTGGGATTCAAGTTTGTAGGGTCGCTCAGCCAAGTCCAAAAATAATATATTTATTTAATATTTTATTATTTATATATACAGGAAACATTTCTTTTTTTGGGCTCAAACAACACTATTGATCTACGCTTATGAATATATATATACATTACTAGAGTACTTTGGAATGTTGAATTGGAAGTTTTTTTTAAAAAAAAATCCTTGCGTAAAAAAGTTAAAAAAATAATAAAAACTAAGAAACAACCTTTATATATGGACTGAGTGGGCAGGCTCAAGAATTGTTTTTCATTTAGGGTTGTGCTTGGGATGCTAAATAGGCCTACTCTTCAAAGTGCAGGTTTAGGCAAACACAGTCCCTTGTTAGGTAGTGCAAGTCTAGCCCGACCCAGCCACCGATGCCCACCCCTTTGAATGGGTCCTCAGGGCACAATTATTGAAAGGGGGGCTAAGGTTGATATGCCATGATGATTTGGATTATGATTTAACCAAATATGCTATTAGGTGACGATACCATTACCACCAATTGCGAGGTAATGCAATCTAATGGCTAAGTAGTGGATTACACGATGGGTACAAGGTTGTGAATGTGATGGAAAGTAAATAAGTTTGAGTACTCAGTAATTAATTTTTGGTGCTTTAATACAAATGAATTTTACTACAAATTGATATTCCTCAAAGGTCTTGAAATAAAAGGGAGAGAAGAACGCCAAGAACATTGCAAGAAAAAGAAGATGAGAAATAAAATGTTTTAGAAAGAAGAGAACTTTTTTCATATAAATTATAGAAATATTATTAGTATGGTTTAGTGACTTTTAGACTTATTTGGGGTCAAGAACTAGATTAAAATAAATGAATGTTTGTCTAATAAAATTCAAAATTACCAGAATGCTTTGGAGTCCTAGGGATTGCAATGTTAAACAGCCACATGGGCCAATGTATACAAAGGGGTCTAAGGAACCGAAATATTGAAAACGAGATGAGCCACTAGGGTAATAAGCTATGATGACTTGGTTTATGATTTGGCTTGATATGTTTTTAGCTAACGATGCCATCACCACCGTAGTTGCAATGTAACTTGACACCCCATGGCCATGTAACAGATTACACGATGGGTACAAGGTTGTGAATGTTATAGAAAGTAATTAACTTTGGTACCTCATTGATACTAATGAATTTTACTACAACTTGATATTCCTTGAGAAGTCATAAATTAATAATTATACAAATGACTAGTGTACTAGTTTCTCTTCAATGTTTCTTATCATATTATTTTTTCCTATTGACGCCACGCCACTACACAAGTACAGATTTTATGGTTCCCACACCACATAAATTCATTGGAAAACTCATTCTTTTTATGTTGTTATGTTTCAAATATTTAGGTTTTTAGAGTGACTCGCCTCACCTTGGAAAGGCTAGATTGTTGGAGGATTAAAAGTGGATTTTTTTTGCTAGTCAAGCTTATGCTCAAGGTCACACTACAACATGGTTATATTTTTGGGGTATGGAAAGAGAGGAAATTTGTAAATAATATATTTTTTGAGTATAATCTTTTGATGTTAACACAGTCCATCTTAAAGCACTTCTTATATGTTAAGGCTTAGTGACAAACTTGATTACTATGATAAGTTCTTGTGCATGAATGGTCTAGAGTATTTGGGCTATGTTACATTGACTTTTCAAAATAAATCAAATACCCGTGTCGGACACCCGACACTCAGACAAGGGTGTGAGATATGTGTCTAATACTTTCCATTAAACACTTCTCATATATTTGAATTTAACACTATTTTACCTGTATCATTTGTTGTGTAATTGTTATAAAACACCTTTTTGACACCGTATGTTACGTTAAGTACCATTTTATCCACATTATAGAATAAAATATAAAAATATGACTCTTTTTTGCTGAGTCTGCGTACCTTTAAATTTAAGATTTGATGAGTCCGACCTCTATATAGATATGCACCAACACCCGACACCCATTCCCAAGTCCATTTTATCCACATAATAGAATAAAATATAAAAATATGACTTTTTTTTGCTGAGTCTGCGCACCTTTAAATTTCAGATTTGATGAGTCCGACCTCTAGATAGATATGCACCAACACCTGACACGCATACCCAAGTCCATATAACATAGGTATTATACTTTGACGAATAAAACGTTTGTGTGGTGGTTTGTTTGTGCACTATAGAATGTTTTTGGATTTCTGCCTATGAAGTACGAACACTTCTCCTTAGGGCTGTTCAAAAATCAGTTCACACCGATAATCCGAACCGAATCAGACCGAATTGTACGGTTTGGTTCGGTTCTATTAAGAATTGGTTTGGGTTCGGTTTCGGTTTTAAGAAATATGAGAACCGTAAAAACGGTTCGATTAATGGATTTTATGAAAAAACCGCGGTCCGAACCAAACCGAACCGAATTTTAAAAGATATATATATAATATCAAATTTTATTTTTATTAATTGATTTTTTGTAATTTTAATAATATTAGGATAATATAGATATGTAATGTTGTGTAATGCCTTAATATTATTAATTTTTATCATGAGCTAAATGTAATTAGTTTGAGTAATTATTTTGCTAATATTAACAATTTATTATTGTAAATAGAAATTTTTGAAACCGTGAACCAAACCGAACCGAATCCTTATTTCGGTTTGGTTCTGGTCCGATTTTACAAGTATAATGGTCTGGTCTGGTCTGGTTCTCAAAATCACAAAACCGTTAGGATCAGTTCGGTTCTTGGATTTTCTCAGAACCGAACCAATCCGGACCATGCACACCCCTACTTCTCCTGAGGTGACGTACAGGCGTCCGACACGTGTTGGACACAGACACGCACCGAACACGCTCCGAACAAGTGCTGGACACGCCGCATAGAATCAAACATGCTGAGACACTTGGGACACGTTCAGGACACCCTGGAGACACGTTGAGAACACACTGAGGACCATTTTTTTTTTTAAAATAGCACACCTAACGTTGATAAATTTGATAAAATTAAATATTTGATATAAAATAAATATTAAATATTTAAAAATGACATAATAAATATATAAAATTATATGTTTTGCACGTGTCCCCAACGTATCATATCCTGCATTTTTTAAAAATTTGGTGTGTGCATGTCTGTCTGTGTCCGTGCTTCTAAGATTTCTGCACATTTCAAGCATAACTAACATATAGGCATACACAATTCTTAGTATCAGTGTTTTAAAAAACCCTAGGCGTATCGAGGCGCCAAGGTCACTTGGAGCCTAAGCCCCGAGGCACAAGGCGAGGCGCGCCTCACCAAAGCAAGGCGCAAGTTATAGAAATTAAGCAAAATATTAATAAAGCACAATTTTCAATATAAGCAAATATTAAATATGTATATTATTAATTTTTTTAATAAGAAAAAAAAACAATTAATTTTTTAATATATATATGTTATTTTATTTATTTGTTATATTTTTTAAATAATGTGTTTTAATTAATTTTTTTATTTTATTTTATATACATGTGTTTATTTTTATTTTTCATAAGTATATTTTTATTTTATGTACATGTGTTTATTTTTAAATAATTAATGTATTTCATTTTACATATTATCCTATGAAGCACAGACACCTCTCCGAGGGCTCCGTACCAGTGTCGGACACGGACACGCGGTGGACACGTGTCCGACATGCACTAGAGTGTCCAATTTTTTTTTATTTTTTTTGAAGCCGGACACGTCCAGGACACGTTATGGACACTTTCGGGACACATGGGGTCAATTTCAGAATTTACAAAACATTTTTAGGGTCAATTTCAGAATTTACAAAATATTTTTGGGGTCAATCTGTAAAAAAACAAAAATAACTTATGTTTGCCCTAAATCGATCAAAAGCCCTAATCGATCAAAGAGCTTAGCAGAGAACAAAAAGAGAAAGAGAGAAGGCAAAGATAACAGAGGAGAAAGAGAACCTGGTCGCTCGTCGTCACTCCTCGGCCGTCGCTCGTCGCTCGTAAGGTACACCTTCTTCCTTCCTTGGCTTCGGTCTTCTTCCTTCTTCTTCCGGTCTTCGTCAATCGATGTTTCTCTCTCTCTGTCTGTCGACGTCTCCTCTCTCTCTCTCTGTTTGAGTATATTTTTCTTTTTTATTTTGTTTTTTCGCGTCTTTTTTTTTTTCATTTTATATTTTTTTTCCCTCTATGTCTTATTTCAGAATATATATATATTTATTAATTAGTTTTGCTAATATGTCTTATTTCAGAATATATATATACATATTTTATTAGTTTTGTTAATTTTAATAATAATGTGTTTATTAATTTTATTATAGGAACAAATTTATAATTCTGAAACAATGGCTACTACGGGTGGTAGTTCTAATGATATACCTGATGATGATTTTGATGAGAACAAACCATTGTGGAAGTATATAACTAAATTAGAGAAACCTGGGGAAGGAGGAGGAAATTGCCAATTACAATGTAATTTTTGTAATAATACTTTCAAAGGTTCATATATAAGAGCAAGGGCACACCTATTAAAACTCCCAGGAAAGGGAATTGGTGTTTGTAAGAAAATTACGAGTCAAAAACTTTCACAATTGCAAAATGAGAATGATGCTGCTGAATTGAGAATTAAAAATGCTCATCCCAAAAATGTACCACTACCCCCTTCTAGTGTATCAATTGGTAGTAGTTATACTTATGAATCAAAGAAAAGGAGAACATGTGGGAGTGGGAGTGGGAGTGGAAGTGCGCCTGGGAGTGGGAGTGCTATTGAGAAAGCATTCAACATGAAGGATAGAGAGCAATTACATTTTGAAATTGCTACGATGTTCTACTCGCCGGGGGGGGGTACCATTTAATCTTGCAAGAAATCCTTACTATGTCAGCTCTTATACATTTGCTGCAAACCATAATATTCATGGATATTTACCTCCCGATTGTAATTTGTTACGAACCACATTACTTCAAAAGGAGAGGGCAAATATTGATAGATTGTTGCAACCAATTAGGGGCACATGGAAGGAAAAAGGGGTGAGCATTGTTAGTGATGGTTAGAGTGATTCTCAAAGGAGGCCTTTGATTAATTTTATGGCAGTGAGTGAAAGTGGGCCTATGTTTATTAAGGCAGTTGATTGTTCTGGAGAAACTAAAGACAAATATTTTATTGCAAATTTGATGAAAGAAGTGATTAATGAGGTTGGGCCTAGTAATGTTCAAGTCATCACGGATAACGCTCCTAATTGTAAGGCAGCTGGACAACTCATTGAAGCTCAATTCTCTCATATTCTATGGACTCCTTGTGTAGTGCACACATTAAATCTAGCTTTGAAAAATATTTGTGCAGCAAAGAATATTGAGAGGAATGAGGTCACATGAAGAGTGTAGTTGGATTAGTGATATTGACGGAGATGGTTTGATGATTAAAAATTTTATCTCCAATCACTCAATGCGATTGGCTATGTACAATGAATTTGTGTCATTGAAGTTGCTATCGGTTGCCGAAACACGATTTGCCTCCACAATTGTGATGCTCAAGAGGTTGAAGCTTATAAAACATGGGCTTTAAGCAATGGTAATTAGTGACAAGTGGAATTGCTATAGAGAGAATGATGTTGAGAAGGCAAAATTTGTAAAAGAAAAGATTTTGAATGATGTGTGGTGGGACTACATTAATTATATTCTTTCCTTCACGGGTCCTATATATGACATGCTTAGGGCTTGTAATACAGACAAACCTTGCCTTCACTTAGTGTATGATATGTAGGACACAATGATAGAGAAAGTGAAGATGACAATATATGGACATGAAGGGAAAAGAATAGATGAGGAATCTACATTTTACAATGTGGTACATCAAATTCTCGTGGATCGTTGGAATAAAAACAATACTCCTCTCCATTGTATGGCACATTCATTGAATCCAAAGTAAGTATCACATTTAAATTTGTTTTAGATATTTCATTTTAATGGACTCATCTAGTCTTTCTTGAAATAATTATTTTTTCCTATTTGTATTGTAGATATTATAGTGATGAGTGGCTCCATGAGAATCAAAATAGAGTTCCTCCACATAGGGATGAAGAGGTGACACGTGAGAGAAACAAGTGTTTTAAAAGGTATTTTGAAGATATCACAGAGCGAACCAAGGTGATAACTGAGTTTAGAAAATTTTCAGGATATGTTGAAGCATTCTCGGAGTATGATTCCATTCATAATAGGTGGCACATGGACCCTTATACTTGGTGGTGTGCATATGGTGCATATGCACCATCTCTTCAAAAACTAGCTTTGAGATTACTTGTGCAACCCTTCATCTTGTTGTGAGAGAAATTGAAGTACTTACTCCTTTATTCACTCAGTGAGAAGGAACAAAATGATACCTCAAAGAGCGGAGGACTTGGTGTTCATTCATAGCAATCTTCGTCTTTTATCAAGGAGGAGCTCCCAATACTTGCAAGGAGAGACAAAAATGTGGGACATTGCTGGAGATAACTTTGACTCACTTAATGATATTGGAATGCTTGGGATAGCTAACCTCTCACTTGATGAACCGGCTATGGAGGCGGTCCTATTTACAAATGAAGGAGAAAATGGAGGTGGTGGTGAAGATGTTGTAATAGTTCCCTCTACTTAAATTCACATTTTCTGATATTTATGGATTTTGTAATAGATGATAGTTGTTGGTACATTGGATAATTTTATATTTTGTGATTTGATTTTCATGCATTTTGTAACAAATGATGGTTGGTAGCTTTGAATGATATGTTATGTATTGATGGAATGCAATTTTATGTTATTTCAATGTTTTTTTAATTATTTTTTAACAATTTTATGACATATAATAAATAAAATTAATTATATATATTGAACATGTCTCCAGCGTGTCGTGTCCCCCATTTTTTGAAAATTTACGTGTCGGCGTGTCGGCGTGTCCGTGTCGTGTCGTGTCGCGTGTCCGTGTCCGTGCTTCATAGATATTATCTATAAGTATATTATATATTATATAATAGGTATTGTATAATATTATATACATAAATCAATTATATTTTATATATTATAAGTATATTGTATATATATGAATTAAGAAGATAAACGGAGAGACAGAAGAGAGAGAGAGAGAGAGATCGCCATCGTGAGAGAGAACGCGAGAGAGAGAGAGCGATCGTGAACGAGACAGGACAGAGAGATCGCGATCGCGATCGCTAGAGAGAAGGCGAGAGAGAGAGCGATCGTGAAACAGAAACGAAGCAGAAGACAACGAAACAGAAACGAAGCAGAAGAGAGAGAACGATCGTGAAGCAGAAGCGAGAAGAAGACAACGAAAGAAGGGAAGAGAAGAGAAGATGAAGACGAAGCAGAAACGAAGCAGAAGAGAAGAAGCAGAGAGAGAAGAAGCAGAGAAGAGAAGAAGAGGAGAAGAGAGCAGAACCTGTTGGAGTGGAAGAAAGTTGAGGCGCACAAGGCGCTCGCCTCATCGCCTAGGCAGCGCTTCCCCTGTGTCGCCTTGCCTCACCATGACTGAGGCGCAAAGCTACGCCTTGCCTCGCTTTGAGCTTAGGCACACGCCTAAGCGCACTTTTTAAAACACTGCTTAGTATTAACCACCATCAGAGACATCCACCCTTGCATCAGTGGGGTCAGCATACCCCATGGTATTGGAAATCAAAAAATACAAGAATATAACCTTATTCTATGTATTCACAGCTTCACAAATACTCATAACTATTGTGGTCTTTTTGCCAAAAACCCACTAAAAGGCTATAACATTTGGGGAAAAAGTTAAATTGTCTAAAATTTCAACAATCCAGTACCATTGTCAATGATTCAAAGAAGAATCAGGGCTTATCTAGATGGTGCATTTTTGTCATTAAAAAGGCAAGTTTGGGAGGGAAACAATTTCTACACGAGAGTATTTTGTGTATGATTCCAAACATTAGGGAGGTAATGTGTCATTAATCTATTTTGTCATACAGCTCAATTCATACACGAGAAATGCCACAATATATAAATATTAACATATTACAAAAACAGCGCACACTCGAAACATTATTCTGCAATTCACAATGGAATGTAATAACACAGAAAATGATCATTATATGCAATCAACAGAGCACATACCTATCTAATCCAAAAAGATTTTCATCCATGAAAGTTGCGTCAGCCTCCCACATCATGCTTGTTCGAATAATCATACCTATCAACACCAAAAAAAAAGTCTCATTGCTCATCAAGTGAGATGCTAAGAGAGAGCAAACAAAGCAAAATGAAAAGAAGGTTGAATGTTAGCATTGACAAGTAAAACTACAACAAAATGAATTCCATATATCGTCTTCAAACAGAACTACTTTAGCCTTTAGGTTTATCAAAATTGTTATGCAGCTTCACATGTTGTAAGCTCTATAGATAAAGTGCTCAAACTTGATAGAACAAATTCAAATAATTCAAGTTTCCCTGTGTGTTTATACTAAAACAGGAGGCAAAAATACTAGGGACAAAAGAGATACCACCTAATGCAGCTATTAACTTTCATCTAGATGATTTCCTAAATATGACAAAGAGTTATATTCCATCCTCAACTTTCACATGCCTGCTACCTTCACAACAAAATCTGCAGCTATAATGAAGTTGATACTTCATAGAAAGAGGCTTAGCGATACTGTAGTGTGAACTATGAAAGAGAGAGTTCATTCCAGAAAGGGTAGCTTTAAATCACAACTTACTAAAACACATAAATAAACTAACTATCAATAAAGTGACAAAATTCTCTAAAAATTGCACTCATAGATGTGATTCGGCATGGACTAAACCAGACAATTCTTATTACAACAGTGATGTAGCACATAATTTCTTCCATTGCTGAACCTATCCAAGCTACTTTGGGCATAAAGTTCAAATTCATAGACTAAACAACGAACACCATAACACAGCAGGAAGGCAAACAAACATCGATTAAATTGACCTTAAGTCAAAGTCATAATAGTATTGAGGGACAAGTGGGTAATTAGATGTCATTTGATACCATAGGCATCAGCATCAGCATCATCATAATCATATAATAATTGTAAGGGATAAAGGGGGAGGGGGGGTTGGATGATCCCTTGATCTATCACACTAAATTGTAATTCCCCCTCAAATAAAATAAAATAAGAGGAAATCATCATCATCATCATAAATATAAACGAATAGAAGGAATTAGAAAAATCTTTGCTTTTGCTTACGTGACAAAAGCAGAATCGATCCAACAAGACAACCCGTCAAATTTCTCTAAATCATAAACTTCCACGGTTTCGAGATATGCATGGGGGTACAGATCACCAGCATCATTACATGATAATATAACCCGAAAGATTGCCACACGTGCATACCACGTATTACAATGATCCACGCCAGCATACAACAAACACATTTTATGGCCGCCACCATCAACATCATCACCCAAATGGGTGAGAAAGCCCTGGAAATGGTATCGAACAAAAGGCGGATTGAACACACTATAAAGCTCGTGTAGTACGCGATAAGACTTGGGGATCCCATCGGAATCCAACTGATAAATACTGAGCTGTTGAAGGTCCCATGGCATGGCGACTAAAAACCCATTGAATTCAGCCGCAGCACAGGAGATCATAGGGATAGGGGATAAGCGCTTTTCAGTGAACTCCCATTTCTCCATACGAGTGTCAAAAATGTAGAAACCAGCAATGGTGCAACAGACGATCTTGTGAGCCCAAACAAAGTGGTGATGCATATAATCACTACCTATTTTAAATTGGGCAGGGTCTGTCCAGGGGGGATGAGGGAGGGCTCTCCAGGATTCGAGGAGGGGATCAAAAACCTCGAAAACAGGCAGCTCAAGTGGTTTATCGTATTTGCAAGATGGTCGTCTCGCCAGAACATAAATCTTCTCATCAAGGTTGATCACGAGAGGACTAAACTTGGGAACAAGCATCCTGGGAATATCATCATCACCACCATTCTTGCAGGCACGGATAGATGCACAACCACGACAATCAAAATCCAACGCATATACATCTAGATTGGGAAGAAAATCAATCTCAGTAATAGCAAGCTTATAACCATCATCATCATCATCATCGGGGGTGATCCACTTCTCTCTCTCACCCCCAATCATGTACAATTTGGAACCCACAGAGATACATCCCATTTTTATCGGTAAATCTAAAACACCGTCAGAATTATCAAACATTGTTTGAAATTCAGGCCGAGAACAGCTTCCCTTCCCCAATTGAGTAATATTTAGACAGCATAGTTGATTTTCCATCCACACATACCAATACTGATCCCTCTCCCTCTCCCTCTCCCTCGTCGACATCTTCAAAATCTCGCTCTCGTTCGGTTGCTCCTCCAGGTCCCGATCCCGCCCGTTAACCCTAACCCTAAACGAAACTTGTGCCCTCTTCCTCTCTAAAAATGACGCAACGTAGATATATATATATATATATACGCACAAGTAAATTGTCACCCCTAGATTAGAAGGATTTGTTGAACCTAATTTGCAAAAAAATTGTACATATGGGCAGACCAATTAGTAAATTGTCATCACGACTCGCTTTCTCAAACGGCTCACTTTTTTTTATTTTATTTTTTCTTTGCACTTTTATATGTTTAGGTATTATATTTTTAGTTTGTCTTAGGTATTATTTTTGAATTTGCACTTTTAGGTATTATATGGATGTTCAATTCTCTTAACACATCATTATGAGTAAATTTAAAATTATAAATCTTTTACCATTTCTCTCAGGCCGTGTTCGATTCACAAAATTAAGAGTGAATGTATTAATAATCTCATCAAATTAGTGTGCTATTCACTATCTAATTGGATTAATAAGATAAATTATCCCCTTGTCCATTATTTAATTTACATTGGATAATAAAACATATGAAGGTAAAAGAGTCTTTTTATTTTATTTTTCAACTCAAGATATATAATCACACTCCTACCCAATTACTAATAATCCTACAAATTTGTTGGATTAATTATCCATTGAATTAATAATCTTGAAACAAAATGTCAAAACAAACATAGAATTATTGGGCTCATGGATTAATAATCTCAATCTTATGCTCTAATCCTATCAATCAAATATGCCCTTAGAGTATGTTTGTTTGAAGGGAAGAATTAGACTCAATGTCCATTGCATCAGGAATTCACTGTTCAGTTGCAAATTAGTAGGCCATATTAGGAATCCAATTGGACTATCAGTCCAACATATGTTGGGCTATTATATCCTAGGAGGATATGAGATATAATTGGTAGGATACGTAGCCCAAGAGATTAAATGGTGAGATAACATATTTACCCTAGTATTTTATTTAATTATGTATTATATTTAAGGGAAATTTGACTATAAACCCCTCTTATTTTTCTTTTTTTTTAAAAGGACCAAAAAAAATAATTATACTTTCAAAACCCCCTCATAATTATAAAATCTTGTACAAAGGACAAAAAATTTCAGATTTATATTTTGTGTGACAAATTTACCCCTTCATACACAAACTCTCTATCTTTCTCCTCTATCTCTTTCTAAGAGCTCTCTCCACCACCACCATCACCACCATCACCACCACCATCTACACCACCATCACCATCTCTACTACCACGACTACCATCGTTTCCACCACCTCCATCGTCTTCACCAATACCGTCTCAACCATCGATGTTGTTCGTCACCACCACCGCCACCATCGTTTCACCACTAGCATCTCAACCACCAGCACTATTCGATGCCACCATCGTCATCCTTAGCGGCCAAGACTTCAGATCTAAGATTGATGACATCAAATTTGAGATCTATCATCTCAGATCTATATTAGCTCTTTCTTTTTTTCTTTGTCTCCTCATCATGCTTTGTTTTCCAGACAATAAAATTTTACTCTGGTTTGAACCAAATCTAAAGCAATATATGTGCTCTCTCTATTTCTCTATTTTTTTTCTCTGGTATGTCCTTTGTTTTTGTTTGACAGAATGAGAGTAAAATTTTATTCTGGTATGTGCACTGTTTTTGTTTGATAAAATGAGAGTAAAATTTTACTCTGACATATGCTCTATTTTTGTTTGATAAAATAAGAGTAAAATTTTACCTCTAAGACAATATATGTGCTTAATGATATAAAACTTTATTTTGAATCATAATAAATTTTACTCTGATTTAGAGTAAAATTTTACTTTGAATCAGAGTAAAGTTTACTAGGATTTAAAGTAAAATTTTACTTTGAAATATACTGTAAGGATAACTTTACAAGAGAGCTGATATATATATATATATATATATATGTGAGGGTAGTATAGTAAAAGAAACAAATTTTAAAATATTAGGGGGTTTTTGAAAAGATCTATATAATTCTTGTCCTTTTGAAAAATAAATTATACAATGAGGGGTATATCACCAAATCTCTCTATATTTAAATGGTAAATCTCTATCGATGTTTTGTTTTAATTTCATCATTTAATCTAGCCAAAAAAAATTAAAGACGGGTTTAATATTGCTATTACTTAGTAAAAAATTGAAAAGAATAAAACAGTCTTTTAAGCATTTATCATTCTTCATAATATTCCAATCAAACATTAGATTCAATAGGATAATCATTTCCAGACATCTAATCCAATGAGAAAACAAATATGGGTTACATATCATTTCTAACCAAATAATTCAGGACTATCTATCCCAGAATTAATAGTGAATTCCGAGTAATTTTATTGCAACAACAACTCTAATGCCTCACCGTTGGAGTTGCTCTTACCTCGCTAAAATTAAGTAACTTTTTATGACTTTTTCAAAGTTCATCTTGATTAAATGAATCTAAATTTTATTTTTCTTAAAAAATTGAGTTAATTTTGAAAAAAAAATCATTAAAAAAAAAAAGAAGCTAAATTGTATAAATAAAAAACTAGAACTTATAAAAATAGTTTATTTTTATTTTTTCTCAATTTTTTTAAAAAAATTTCGAATTCTTTGGTTGATACAAATACAAAAAAGTACAAAAATTTGACATAATATTTTTCAAAATTCACTAAAAACAAGAATAAACTGAAATAAAAAGCCCAAAATATCTTACCAGAAGCGAAAGGTACACATTTCTAGAGTTTCTTTTTGTATGTCATATGCATGATAGGCTTCACAAGGAACATGATTGGAAATTGTTTGATCGTCGGATAATACAAAATGATTAATTTTCCGCTTAGATTATCTAACATTTAGTTCAAGCATTGTAGTATCAATCTTTGAAATAGAAGAGAAAAAAGGTAATCAAAAGGCAGACAACCGAGGAGATGCTCAAAACTACAAGTTTCTTCATCCAGAGCGAAACATAAGTCAATCAACACAATTACTTTATTCATCTCTAGATCTAGTACGTGATTTTTCGCATCATGGAGGAACGTGATTCGTCAACTGCATCTTTCAGAATAGAAGAAACACATTTTTCCTTCTCTTGCACTATCAATCTAGACCTCAACAAAGACAACAATTCCTTGTACCATGATTGTTTTCTCTTCAGTACTTGGATATAAGCCACAAGTCCAAGCCATTCAACTTTTCTCTTCTCCACTTGAAAAATAGGGTGGAAAGTCGAATCAACATCCATAGAATGCATCCTTTTCTTTATGAGCTTGTGCATATACCTATCAATCAACAAAACAAAATGCCAAAACTTTTTATTTATTTATTTGTTTTTTGAAAAAAAGAAGGGTCATAGAAATAAGCTTTGATAATTGAATTATACAACTTAGAACTGGGTAGTTTCAAACAAGAAAACACTTTACTGAAGAAGTATACATGGTTAGTGTTAGGTTTTATTCTTGACAATCCCGTTTGACAAAACCCCTTTCAGTTGTACTTGTTTTCGCTCTTTTATTTCAGTGAGGCTATGAGTTTTTAGATGCGAATCCAACCCGAATTGTGCCTTACGGAGAAGTTTGTGGTGCTAATTCTTTCATGATTGCCACTTCGTAGACTATGACGGGGATCGAGCGGCCGTTTGTATGCTCGAGCGGAGAATGTTTGGTTTCAAAAGTTTGACCAGTCTGCAAATTCGCTGTTAGGCATGTTTTTTCGCTCGAGCGTCCATTTCTCCGCTCGAACGTCCATCCTGGTTTGGAACACGCGATATAGAGTCTTCACTCGAGCACCCATTCCCACGTTCGAGCGGACCTCACGATTTCAGATTCTATAAAACCTCATGTTGCTCCAAAACTAGGGTTACGCTTCCAGATCTTCTTCTTAGATATTAGGGTTTATATCTGGGGCTATTTTGCTAGTTTTCTTTGACGTTTGATTGAGTATTCAACTCATGGTTTAAGAATTATACATCAAAAGATTGTTTGTTTATTCAATAAAAAAAAATTGTTGTTCTTCGGTGGATTCCGAGGAATTCGAGCCTGAAGCTTTGGTGGATTCTGGAGTGACTCATTGTCGTGATTCGACATTGGCGTTGTGGATTCAACGTTGGGCAAGATAACTCTGAGGTAAAAACGGTGGTGGAAGAGACACATTGGGGTTGGTTCAATTCGGGCGTGGAATCGCTAGGTAATTGAGAGAACACTTGTATAATTCCTTTATGTCTTTTTGGTGGATTGTTTTGTGGCTTTTGTATAGCGATTCTGATTTTTGAACCGTCTCTTGTGTTATTCCGGACTTGGGTTAGTATGGTTTAGGTGGTTGTGCATACCTTGTTTCCCTTGTCTTCCCCTTATTGTTGGTTATTGGGTTATAGTTTGGTGTTTGGAAGAGGTTGGTTGTTTATTCTTCCAAGCCTTTATTACCCAGAAAATTACTTCTCCGTTCGAGCAGGCATTCTTGCGCTCGAGCGGACTTCACAAATTTTGGCTTCACGCTCGAGCGGGCATTCTGGCGCTCGAGCTAGGACTTTGTCTGCAAAAGTACTGGATGAGCGTATTTCACGCTCGAGCGTAAGGTTCCACGCTCGAGCGAACCTCTGTGTTTGACACTCGAGCGGGGCTTTCTACGCTCGAGTGGACCATGTTATATCAATCCGTAACATTGGGGTTTTAGATCACTTTTTGCAGCCCCCTCTCTCTAAAACTCTCCAAAATCCAGATCTAGAGCTTCTCTCTTTAGAAATCACCTTCTCTCTTTGATTTCTCCAAATCCATTGGGATTTAGGCCTAAGTTCTTCATCAAAGTTGGTTATCACCTCGAGGACTTCATTGTGTGCTGTGGAGATTGAGTTTAGGCATCGTTGATTTTAGATTTTTCATCTCAAATCTTCTTCAATACTTGAGGTAGGGATTTTCTACACTCTAATATGATTTTTAGCTTAGTTATTTGCTATTATGTATAGATGATGATGTTTGGTTGTGTTTTGGACAAATCTAAGATTTGGGTGCGAAACAAAAAGAGTGATTTTTGATGTACAAGAGATAAATGAGTATGGGGTTTGACTATAAGATGTTGGTGTGC